GCTAACCATGTAGTACTAAGTGCCAGATAGACTAGGTAGGTACGTGCTTAACTTTACTTTAAATAATACGAGATTACGAACTAATTATACGTTTCATTATAGGTAGGACGCAAAACAAAAAATGATAAATAAACCATCTACCATTTATACATTTATGCTGGGGGTGTATCAAAAGGACGGCAAAAACAAGTGGGCGTGCAATTTGGCTTGGGGAACTCCACAGTTGTTCTTCTCAAAGGACGACAGTAGCAGGTCGGCACACAATTTGGCTCCGGGAAGTACGCCGTTGTCCCTTTAAGAGGACGACAGTAACATGTAGGAACGCAGTTGGGCTTTGGAAACTCCACACGTGGTTCTTCTGTCACATCGAAAGGACGGCAGTGGCAGGTGGTGACACAGTTGGGTTTTATAACTATTTCTGATTCTGAATCCTCCGAAACGATGCCCATGTAAAGGGTTAAGGTCACCATCAAGAAAATTGTGAACTTCATGGTGAGATGCAAGGTTTAAGACGTCTGGCGCGGAGCAATGTATTGATACATTTTATAACCAAAGCTGGCACCCATAACACTTTGGGGCTAGATGGCGCTGCCTGTGTAAAATTGTCCAAATTGCTATTATTTATTATTTATATCGATACATAACTACTATCGATGTGTACATATAAGCAATGCCTTATAAAAAGTGAATTATATTTTCTTGTATCTTACTCATAATTTAAAAAAAAGATTGTTTTCCATTTTGGATTTTAAAGCAAATAATGAAACAATTTCACGCATGAAATCCAGTTATGTATTCAATAAAAAATAATTTTAAAACGACTCAGAAATTCAGAACATATTAAAATTATATTTTTTAAATGCGTTTCATATTGAAGACGACATAAAAACTAAATTAAGGGGGTTTTAAAACTTGCCTTTGTTTGTATCTTCTACATCGGGTTCTAAGGGCTGATTTTTCAATCCTCGGATAACTTATAATTGAATAATAATTTTGGCACAATGACAGTTTTAGTATGGGAAATATGTCAAAATGACAAGGTTATTCTTCAGTTAAAAGTTATCTGACGATTGAAAAATCAGCCCTAAATCAAATAAACAGACGAATAGTGTGTCGTAGAAAAATAATATTAATCTCAATAATTCAGGTCTAAAAAAAGAATGGGATTGTGCTATTATAGGAAAACACAGAATATTTTCTCTATTACAAATAGCACCACACTCTTTAGTGAGTTAAAGAGACGACGATAAATGCTATGGACCTCCAGCCGGGCTAAGATGCGCGTCGTAATAAAATATTATCGGTGATTTTAGACGTCAAATGTATGGGCGTATCGCGTAAAATCGATAAAATGGCGCGATAAAAGTTTATCGCGCCATTTTATCAATGAAATACATTCATTTTTTTAGATATCCAGATACCATAAGTGACGATGTAGGTACCACCAATTTTGCAACAACCTGTATTAATGTTCATATTTCTATCAAACTATCGAGTATAAAATGCTTCAATACATTCGGCGAATAACAGACTTATTTGACAATTCATTCAAAATGAAATTCACTACATTCATACTTATGGCGTTCATCGCCTTGGCCGTCGTCATGGGGGCTTCGGTCAAGAAAGACCTCTCTCAAACACCAATAAAATGCAATGTGATGGCGATGCTGGTAAGTCAATCCTGTTTGACTTTGAAGGGGCAATACAGTCATATTTTTATACCATACCTAATTGACTACTTTCAATAATACTTCTTTACTTTCTGGCTCTTTAATTGTTACAATTTCAAGCTTAAAATACTGAACCGATTTTGATATATAAAAGATATAAAGATAGTTTGAGCCCTATAGGATAGTTTATATCCCGGTTTTTCAAAAAGGGACAAGCACGCGCGCGATGAAGTTTTTCCATGAGACAAAATGAATGAATGCAAAAACAACACATTTTTACATGAACACATTTAAATAGTCTGCTAGATTTTTAGTTGCATTAAAGATGTTATTTAATGATCAAATCTTAATTTCCAGGCAAGTAGCCACGTTCACGAAGCAAGAATAAATGAAAGCATATTTTTTTCAAAATTGCGGTCAGAAATAACGTTATTTAATGATTGAGTTTAATTCATCGTGTTTCTATGAAGATTATTCATGAACATAAAAATTTAAAATCTTAGAAATGTAGACTGATAGTAACTGAGTTTTTTGTGCTGCTTTTCTTCAGCAGTGGGATATTTTTTTAAACTAAAATTCTTTTCTTGCTGAAGCAGTGGCAGGGTTAAAACTACATGTCGCAAATTGAATTTTAAAGCGAGACTGAATAAATGGTGACTTTTTGTTTATTTCTTGACTTAAATAAAAATATTCTATAAAAAATTGGGAATTTATTTCTTATTATCCTCGTAAGCCCGGATGTGCCTCAGAAGGAACTGAAACTTTGTAGTCAGTAACGCCGAGACATTTTCGGAGGTGAATTGTAAGTATCGCCGGATGTGCCCTCAGAAGAACTAAAACTTTAGCGATAATTTTAAGTTTAAAAATTCGCGCCTATTGAATAAAAAGAGTAATAGTCTATGGCTTAAAGTATTCAAAATCAGGTATCCGAACTTATTAATGTAAAAAAAACAAAATGTCACTGTCAAATTATCATTTTTCTCTGACAAGGTGGTTCTTTCGAGAGGACGTGATGTACGATTAATTTTTTTTCTTCACGTAAACGTAGTTTAATTGAAAAACTAACCAGTATAATTTAAGTTAAAATACTGCTAAACAAGCAAAAAAAAATTTTTACCAATTCGAAGAAGTTTTGTAAGATCTTTTTTCGTTTGAAAATAATAGTTCTTTGCAAGGAACATTCGGTCTTGATGGTGAAAGTTTTATTTTTGTATATTTTTTCTATTAAGATGGATTGAATATTGGACTTTTAAAATTATGATATGATTGAGAAAATTTACCATGAGAACGTTCTGATTTTTAGTTTAAGAAATATTATAATTAACATGAATATTCACTTTACTTCTTATACATACAAACCTATCATTATTGTATGTTATAAAACCGATAGTACTTTTAAAAGTACTAATAATGAAACATTAAATAAAATTAAAATACTTGTGCCTTTTCAGTTACATTTATTTATATCATTATTGTATCTTTATGTAGTGTTAATTTATTAAGGAGGTTACATTTATGTTTTACTTTAAAGTATAAAATACAATTTATTTACTTTTTCTTTTTAAAGTCTGTAATACCGAATGTTCTTTTAAGAGAAAACATTTTTTTATTATTTTTTACCTAAAATAAGCTCTATGCACTATTATATAGGGTCCCTGAAAATATGGGTGCAAAAGAAAATCTCTAACATAGAAAATTTTTTACTCGAAGTGCTCGGCGTTTAGGACTTCAAATTGTTCGTTCTTCTGAAAGCACATTCGGCGATACTTAGAAGTCGACAAAATTTGCTCTTCGGTCTTACGAGGTTATACTATAACTACCTGTGTGAATTTGTTGTTGGATCTTAAGTAGTTGGGATTAGAGATATTTTGCAAAGAAAATGATTCGGCTGATGTGTTGTATGTACATGACACCGCTAACGTGGCATAGGTATGCATTGCTAGAGCGGCGAAACGAAACAACATCAAATTGTGTGATATCTGTCACACAATTTGAATTCGCTTAAAAGAACGGAATTTTATCGGAATTTATCCTTGTCGCGACAAGATCGGTGTAATAAATTGCAGAAATAGATGTATGTTGTACTAGCTTTCCGCCCGCGGCTTCGCCCGCGTGGAATTTTGTCTGTCACAGAAAAACTTTATCGCGCGCGTCCCTGTTTCAAAAACCGGGATAAAAACTATCCTATGTTCTTTCCCGGGACTCAAACTATCTCTATGCCAAATTTCATCAAAATCGGTTGCGAGGTTTAAGCGGGAAAGCGTAACAGACAGACAGACAGACAGAGTTACTTTCGCATTTATAATATTAGTTGGGATTGAGTTAAGCATTATGTCACGATCATGTTTCCAAAGATCACACTCCCACAAGTCTCAGATAACAGACAACTTGTCTGTGCATAACCCCGCTTATGACACTGACCTTGAGCGTCCTCATGAGTCCTTCCAGCTCGTCCTTGCGCTCGCAGCTCCGACACTGACCTTGAGCGTCCTTATGAGCCCCTCCAGCTCGTCCTTGCGCTCGCAGCTTCGACACTGACCTTGAGCATCCTCATGAGCCCCTCGAGCTGCTGCATGAGGTGCTTGCGCGACTCCTGCAGCGAGGACAGGTGGCCCTCCAGCTCGTCCTTGCGCTCGCAGCTCCGACACTGACCTTGAGCATCCTCATGAGCCCCTCGAGCTGCTGCATGAGGTGCTTGCGCGACTCCTGCAGCGAGGACAGGTGGCCCTCCAGCTCGTCCTTGCGCTCGCAGCTCCGACACTGACCTTGAGCATCCTCATGAGCCCCTCGAGCTGCTGCATGAGGTGCTTGCGCGACTCCTGCAGCGAGGACAGGTGGCCCTCCAGCTCGTCCTTGCGCTCGCAGCTCCGACACTGACCTTGAGCATCCTCATGAGCCCCTCGAGCTGCTGCATGAGGTGCTTGCGCGACTCCTGCAGCGAGGACAGGTGGCCCTCCAGCTCGTCCTTGCGCTCGCAGCTCCGACACTGACCTTGAGCATCCTCATGAGCCCCTCGAGCTGCTGCATGAGGTGCTTGCGCGACTCCTGCAGCGAGGACAGGTGGCCCTCCAGCTCGTCCTTGCGCTCGCAGCTCCGACACTGACCTTGAGCATCCTCATGAGCCCCTCGAGCTGCTGCATGAGGTGCTTGCGCGACTCCTGCAGCGAGGACAGGTGGCCCTCCAGCTCGTCCTTGCGCTCGCAGCTCCGACACTGACCTTGAGCATCCTCATGAGCCCCTCGAGCTGCTGCATGAGGTGCTTGCGCGACTCCTGCAGCGAGGACAGGTGGCCCTCCAGCTCGTCCTTGCGCTCGCAGCTCCGACACTGACCTTGAGCATCCTCATGAGCCCCTCGAGCTGCTGCATGAGGTGCTTGCGCGACTCCTGCAGCGAGGACAGGTGGCCCTCCAGCTCGTCCTTGCGCTGGCGCAGCGCTCGCAGTTCTGACACTAGCGGGGGGGCGGAGCCCGGCGTGCCTGACGCGCCTGCGCTGGCCTCGGCCTCCTGTTGTCGCCTGTGTATACATAGTCTGTATTTATTAACTGTCAAACAACAGATTTCACCCGCCACTGGACCGTCCCAGCTATGACGTTGTCAAGAGGGAGCTACTCGTAGTATCAATACTGGATTCTATTAGTTCCAATATTTACCACGTTGAACGCCGCTGCTGGGGCGCTGGCTTAGCTTGCACGTCTCCAGTGCTATGTAAGCGGCTTCGTATTTATTATTTGTATCTTACTAAGTTACTAACATAGGCTAAGTGAAAATTGTTACTAACACGATTATGGACCCTGGTCTGACAATATTTTTTTTCAATTTCAATAATTATTATTATGATGATGACATTTACAGTTCAGTAATAAAATGCGAATGTGGGCACTATGGCATGAGTAACAAAAATCTCGCACATCTCAAAAGCGGATTAATACAACAGTGAATATAATCCATATAAATGGTAGATTGACCTTTTTATGACATCATTTCTACTACCAAGTTGATCCAGATTACTGAATTCAATAGAAATCGATACCAAAATAAAAACAATAAAACGTCTCGCACCTGAGCCTGGCGATCTCCCTCATGATCTCCCTATTCTTGGCTTCGAGCTGGGATATCAGTTCGCGCTGCTGCCTCGCCGCGTCCACTTCGGAACCCTCGGACGACGAACGGCCCTGACACATTGATGTTTAGTTAAATTATAGCTAAATGTAGAACGATAAGTTTAAGAGATTTGGGAGTGATATTTACCAGTTCAGGTGTCAAGGACGCGGACCTTCCTGCTCTGGGCTGTGAAAGTAAAAAAACGGTTATTAAATAATGTCCCTGATCAAAAGTTGCTCGTGATTTTTTTCCAGAATAAGGGTTGCAAATTAGCTCAGATCATCAGTTTCGTATAATAAGGTTTGCTTGCTTGCTTTTTCACCAAAATCTCCAGATCCATTAAATTTGCGACCAACACGTTCTGAGGGCTCACTAGTGAGCGCGTCAAAAAATGACATTAAATGTATGGCGGATTGTACAGCGCCCCTAGCGGGAAACGTTCAAAAACTAAAATTTTCATACATTTTATAAACGTGGTAAATAGTGAGCGCGTTTGATGTAAACTCACACTCAGCCCACTGTACTCTAGGTACCTGAAACTAACCATAGTTCTGCATTCTGGGAGCCTGACACTCACCATAGTTCTGCATTCTGGGAACCTGATACCATAGTTCTGCGTTCTGGGGGCTTGACACTCTGTATAGTTCTGTACTATGGGAGCCTAACACTTACCATAGTTCTTACCGTTTGGAAAGATGCGAGACATTTCTGCACTCTGGGAACCTGACTTCTTAGTTCTGTTCTCTGGGAATCTGTCACTCACCATAGTCCTATTCTCATGGGCCAATCTCGCAGCGTATCTCGCTATGAGCCGGTGCTCGTCGTCTCCTCCCCGGGACAGATGTTCCGCGATGCTGCGGTGAGTGGAGCGGGAAGACCGGGAGTCTAAGGAGCCTGTGTTGACGTATCCCGGTGCATATTCTGGGAACCCGTTGTGTGCTGGCACCGGGGATGGCGGGCTGTAGAATATAAATCATCATTATTATTAGGTCATTTAGTTTTAGGAGGATGACCCCCTCTAGTTTACCATAGGCAAAAGGGAAAAAGAGATGGTCCAAAAAAACAAATCGATTCTGGGTTTTTCGTCCGTAGAAAATGAACCTTCTCTTTTGACCTTAACTCCTCATTCTAACCAGCTCGCTTATCTCTGCCTTAAGTGCCTTATACGACATCTACTTTGACTGAATCACATGGATACAAAAGTTATACGAAAAAATAAGGTATTGAACACGCAAATCAGTTGACTTTTTAGTGAGCTTTCAAACGCGACTTTTCCTTAGCGACGCTGATCTACTAACGCAAACTCGTTGCCACGTACCGGAAAATGCAGCGTGAGACGTCCGCCCACAAGGTGGACCGTCGACCTCATAAAGGTAGCAGGAAGGCGCTGGATACAGGCCGCTAACACCCGGACGATGTGGAAATCACTGGACAACAATGGACCTATGTTTAGCAGTCTTGTGTCTGAAATGATGATGAAGTATGCAGACTTCCGCTCGAGTTTCACGTAGGTCTTTCTTAAGCTTCAGCCACACCAACGCGTGCAGATCGCCATTGCCGGCGCGATCATAGGCCAATGACAGGTCACGCGGACTGTCATGGCGATGGCATTAGTGAACTCACACTATGTGTCAGCGGAACGACTTGCGGAGCGTCGCGCCTATAGCTGCTCCGACGGGGACTTACGCTAGCCTACATTACTTAGGAGCCAACACTAAAGCCGCACTCACACTATGTGGCTGAGGTTGAGCGTCCGCTCCGGCTGGTCAGGGTACCAATTCGACTAAAATACTAAATCACACACTTGGTGTAATAACGTCAGAATAATGTAGTGTGAAAGGCTTCAACTCACGCTCCAATGTGGACGTGCCGGTGTAAACTGCTAAAGCCCGTTCCGTGAGCACGTAGAATTTTGTCCAATGACCCCAAGCTACCCATCCTTATCGCTCGCGCGTAATTATATTGCTGTCGCGACTGTGCGACTGGCACCCGCAGTGAGTGAGCGAGCGCGATAGCAACATAATTACGCGCGAGCGATAAGGATGGTTAGCTTGGGGTCATTGGACAAAATTCTACGTGCTCACGGACCAGACTATACTGGCTATCAAAGGAACAACACTAAAGCCGCACTCACACTATGTGGCTGAGGTTGAGCGTCCGCTCCGGCTGGTCGGGGTAGCGCGGCAGCTGCGGCCGCGCGCGCTCCGGCACGCAGCGGAACGACTTGCGGAGCATCGCGCCTATCTGCTTCGACGGGGACTTACGACGGGTCCACGCCGCTAGCCTACATTGTTTAGGAGCCAACACTAAAGCCGCACTCACACTATGTGGCTGAGGTTGAGCGTCCGCTCCGGCTGGTCAGAATACCAATTCGACTAAAATACTAAATCACACACTTGGTGTAATAACGTCAGAATAATGTAGTGTGAAAAGCTTCAACTCACGCTCCAATGTGGACGTGCCGGTGTATACTGCTAAAGCCCGGTCCGTGAGCACGTAGAATTTTGTCCAATGACCCCTAGCTACCCATCCTTATCGCTCGCGCGTAATAGGGTATTTGACACCACCAATCAATTGACGTACTTTTTAAAACTGTCAAAACGACACTCTCCCCAGTGGCGTAGCTTGGGGGGGGCAGGGGGGGCCATGGCCCCGGGCGGCATATGAAAGGGGGCGGCGGATAAGAAAAAAAACATTGCATGAACAAGAAAAAAAAAAGGTCGACTATGTCTACGTTGAGACTAACAAATCTAGCTATACTGGCAATTGAAAATGAGATACAAATTGATATCAACGATTGTGTAAAAGATTTTGCTTTGAAAAAAGCACGAAGAGTACATTTTTAATCTATTTTTTTAAGTAATAGTAACAAAAATATTTAAGGAGCTTACTTACCCCTCTAAAACTTGCGCCACAGATAATCTTTCGTGATTTCTCTTGTTACAAACCGAAATAAAAAAGTGGTTTGTAAATAGTTAAAGCCATATCTAAGCTACTTTTAAAACCGTGTATTTATTATATTCTGCAAGTTCGAAATTCAAAATTAGCTAAAATGGGAACTTTTAGCAGTAATTAAATCTGTAACTTGCTGCAAATATCTAATGAATTCAAACAAAATATTTTAAAAAATAGCTTCGATACATATTATACATTTTTCAAACCACTTTTTTAATTTCGGTCTATAACAAAAGTAATCAAGAAAAAATTTCTTTTTGTAAAGAAAACGTAATAACTTTTAAACTAAGCGGTATATCCTGATAAAATAAAAACAGTAATAATGCTAAATAACAGGCGATACTAAAAAAACACATAAAATACACAAAAAAGGCCAACAAATAATAAAAAATGATACTTTTTGAAAAAAAATTGCTTTTAAATTCGTGTTTTTTTGGTTATTTGATAAATTTCTCCAAAAAATGCCCCTATATCCGGTGGTTTTTATTACTTTGTATTATTCTCTATCGTACTATCTTTGTAAAACCAAAAATCGCATGTCTCTATCCCTATCACAATGTTTGCAATGATCGTTTGAACTAAGCCTCTCCGGGCGCGCCATTCAACGCTTCGTTAACAACGAAACTGAAAATGGCTCTAGATTTGTTAAAATTAAGTTATGCTAAAAGAACTAAAGATAATTTACAACGAAAATTAAATGAGGCCAGTCAATTACGCAATGATTTTGACGAATGTATGTTAGTAATTTTAGATGAAATTAAGCTAAGTAACATAAAAGGTAAAGTTCTCGAAGAAGTACAATCATATTGCGATTTATTTAAAGAGATTTATGAACAAATAGAACATTTTTGTGCCCAAGCTGAGTGCACTGTCGTAAATACTGAAAATACTGCGACACAGAGCACCATGGCTACTTTTGATTTTAAAACTTATCGCTCGCGCGTAATTATATTGCTGTCGCGACTGGCACCCGCAGTGAGTGTGCGAGCGCGATAGCAACATAATTACGCGCGAGCGATAAGGATGGGTAGCTTGGGGTCATTAGACAAAATTCTACGTGCTCACGGACCGGACTATACTGGCTATCAAAGGAACAACACTAAAGCCGCACTCACACTATGTGGCTGAGGTTGAGCGTCCGCTCCGGCTGGTCAGGGTACCGACTCGACTTAAATACTAATGTAGTGTGTGTAGACGAGCGATCCAAAGTTAACGTGCCGGTGTAGTTTACTATTGGTTATCAAAGGAACAACACTAAAGCCGCACTCACACTATGTGGCTGAGGTTGAGCGTCCGCTCCGGCTGGTCAGGGTACCAAATCGACTAAAATACTAAATCGCACGCTTGGTGTAATAACGTCAGAATAATGTAGTGTGAATAAGGCTGTAGACATATGATCCAATGCGGACGTCCCGGCTGCTATTGGCTATCAAAGGAACAACACTAAAGCCGCACTCACGCTATGTGGCTGAGGTTGAGCGTCCGCTTCGGCATCCACTAAAATACTAATGTAGTGCGAACAAGGCTTTAGACTCACGGTCCAATACGAACGCACTGGTATAGTACTGGTTGTTTAAAGGAACAACACTAAAGCCGCACTCACACTATGTAGCTGAGGTTGAGTGTCCGCTCCGGCTGGTCAAGGTACCAATTCGACTAAAATACTAAATCGCACACTTGCGTACTTGGTGTAATAACGTCAGAATAATGTAGTGTGAACAAGGCTTCAACTCACACTCCAATGTGGACGTGCCGGTGTAAACTGCTAAAGCCCGGTCCGTGAGCACGTAGAATTTTGTCCAATGACCCATAGCTACCCATCCTTATCGCTCGCGCGTAATTATATTGCTGTCGCGACTGTGCGACTGGCACCCGCAGTGAGTGTGCGAGCGCGATAGCAACATAGTTACGCGCGAGCGATAAAGATGGGTAGCTTGGGGTCATTGGACAAAATTCTACGTGCTCACGGACCAGACTATACTGGCTATCAAAGGAACAACACTAAAGCCGCACTCACACTATGTGGCTGAGGTTGAGCGTCCGCTCCGGCTGGTCGGGGTAGCGCGGCAGCTGCGGCCGCGCGCGCTCCGGCACGCAGCGGAACGACTTGCGGAGAGTCGCGCCTATCTGCTTCGACGGGGACTTCTGAAAATTAAAAATATTTATTCAGCTTTGTTTGATTAATATTTTGGCACTTAAAAACTTCATAACAAAAAAAGGGTGACCCTTAACATGTCCTTGGGAACATAATTAATCAGAGTGCTCAGTGCGAGTTTACACGAAACGTCATCGCTAGCGACTGCGTAAAAAATGTTATGAAATGTATGAAAGATTGTACAGCACCCCTTGTAGATACTTTAGAGAACTAAAATCTTCATAGATTTTTTGACGCCCTCGCTAGCAAAAACGATCTATGAAAACTCGCACTAAGCACATTGGAAGAGCTATGGTTCCAGTATTGAGCCCTGGGGCACTCTAATTCTTAGAGAAACGCCCGAAGAGTTAGTTCTATGAATGTTTAGTTTTGTAATCTGCCTGAGAGGTAAAAGTTTAATAGGCCTAAGACCTTGCCTATGTAACAAGAGTTATCTATCCATCCCTCTCAAACAAAGCGAGATGCCGTCTTGAGCGAAAGAGACAATTTTTTTTTATCCACAACGAGAAAACTCTTGGCCTGTATCTCACCTAATGGTAAGTGACGATCAGGCCGAAGGTGGAAGCGAGCTTTACCCGGAATCCTCAACCACGGAGGAACTGGCTATCTTACCTCTAACTACCGGAACACAATATTGCTGTTAACATTGTTGTTATGGCGACAGACTTACGTAAGCGGCGTACTCCTTGACCTCGTGCTCGTTGGTGTGTGTGCCGGACACGCGGCCGCGCCAGAAGCAGTCCTGGCAGAGCGTGTAGTTGGCGCAGCGCGTGCATCGGTACCGGAAGCCGGTCAGCGAGGAGCGGCGGCACGCGCTGCAGGCTAGCGGGTGAACCACTAGAGGAGAAAAGTAACATATTGGTATCGATAACATATCGGTATCAGAAATGGTCTGATTACAGCTGACGTAGAACGAGCTCCGTCACGTAACGGTACTAATGGTATGCCACAGATTAAGAGCGCTATCAGATTTAGGCGACTTTAACCTGCCGGCGAGCGCTACAGGCTAACACTAGAGGAGAAAAGTAACATATTGGTATCGATAACATATCGGTATCAGAAATGGTCTGATTACAGCTGACGTAGAACGAGCTCCGTCACGTCGGTACTAATGGTATGCCACAGATTAAGAGCGCTATCAGATTTAGGCGACTTTAACCTGCCGGCGAAAGCCACAGGCTAGCGGGTGTACCACTAGAGAAAAAAATAACAAGTATCGGTATCAGTATTAGAGCGTGGGCACGCGCTGCAGGCTAGCGGGTGAACCACTGGGGGAGGAAAGTATCGATAATATATCGGTACCGGTATCGGAAAATGGTTTGACAGCCGTTGACGCACTGCAATGAGCTCCGTCACGTAACGGTAGGCCGCAGATTAAGAGCACTTTCACATTTAGGCGACTTTAGCAACGCACGACAGACGCACTGCCAATAATTTCATACTACAGACTGAGTTTCTTGCGATGCTTCTTCTCAGCACTGGCCTATTTATTGTCCCGAAGCAGCGGTAGGGTTAATACTGGAACGTGTAAAAGTCCTTTTTAAAAGCCTATTTCAAACTTGCAAAAATAATTTGGTCTAAACTTCATTCTTACATTGAAAATACGCCTGGAATATCACACTGACACTGCGCAAGTGCACAGTAACGCGTTACACGACAGTTTGAGGTACTTGCATTATAATATTGAAATAAGATTTCCCACGCTACGCGACGCGGGACGTAGCACAGTGTAGTTGGTTAACCTTCAAAATTGTGATTGGCTTGAATTTACACTCGTTTCTAAATCCAGTTTTTTAGGGTGATTCATAAGTGTTGAGAAATGGCGTCCAAGTCAATTTTAAATAGCTCTTTGACTAGTAAAATAGATAAGAAATGCACAATACCATTACCATTTTCGACACTGGCGAGTCGGTGCAGCAACGGAAGCCAGACCAGGCACGGAGGCCCAGGGTCTGACATAAGGGTGTCCAGGAAATCATTCACAGTTATTTTCACGTTCTGTAACAATAATAACAGGTTATTTTTCAATTGATTCAGGTCAATGAGGGTTTTCGCGATTGAAAAATCCACCAGATGGCAATACGTAGACGCGAGGTCCAAATGCTGCATGATTGGTTATTTTTGACATGACATTGACAGATAAATGTCAAAATCCACCAATCATGCAGCATTTGTCAGATTTTTCAATCGCGAAAACCCTCATTTGGTTCCAATGCACGACCTTTTCTTATTCACTAGAGGCAAATGGAGGATTTGATAATACAGTTTTTAGGAAGATCCATTTTTATCTCAATCATCATCATCAGGTTATTTAGTATCTTCTAAAGAAGTACGAATTTTATCTAATTTACTAGAAGCAAATGAAAGATTTGGGAAACACTACCCAACTTAGCCAGTCTGGTTGAGGAGGCCTCATGTTCAAAGATTTGTCCTTTAGTCTAAACATGTAAGCGCTTTGGGTTTTCTGTAAGCTTATTATGTTGCTCATTAAATAAATAAAATAAAATAAATAGTCATTTTCGCGCTCGCTTTTCTCATCACAAAAAAAAATATCATCCTCAGGATTTCAAGCCGTAACCAACTGGTATTTTACCGTTTAAAAATATAGTTTACGGTTTAAAAACGATAATATTATAACTGTTAAGTTAAGAATAAAACAAAGAAACTCACCTGATTGAATATAGACAAGGCTAGCGAGTCGTTATAACTGAACGAAGGCGATTCATACACAGCGGCTGGTAACGCCAACACTTCTCTTAGGTAATCCGATAGCCTCTTCATAAGTAGGTGTCCATTGCCATCCGAGAGCTGAGAGAATATATCTGCAAGAGAAAACGCGAATGAATAAAGTTCTTATTGTTTGAAGTTAAAGTTCAAATTGCAAGGAATACATACACCTCAACTTGTCCATTAGTTTGCCAGCGCACATAGTTGCTAGAGCAACTTTGATTGAGAACACCCTTATTTTGCCCACATTTTCCCTGTAACAATATAAACAAAGAAATATTAGACGGGTCTGTTGTATGCAGCGACCTATGACAGACCGCGCGACCTATCATTAGCCTATGATCGCGCCGGTAAAAGCATTGAGGTAGCGATAGTAGCGCTTGTTCAAGTTGTGGTGGCGACGAGCTAGAGTCTCCCGCGTGACGTCACGCGTCCCGCCAGTGTGTCACTCACCCGGTGCTGTAGGCGGATAGTAGCCAGTTGAGAAGTAGCGCGGAACACGCCTCGACAGACACCTGGTGCGCCGGCGGCAGGCGCTTGTTCAAGTTGTGGCGTCTCCCGCGTGACGTCACGCGTCACATCTGTGTCACTCACCCGGTGCTGTAGGCGGATAGTAACCAGTTGAGGAGCAGAGCGGAGCAGGCCTCGACGGACACCTGGTGCGCCGGCGGCAGGCGCTTGTCCAGGTCGTGGTGGCCACAAGCTAGCGTCTCCCGCGTGACGTCACGCGTCACATCTATGTCACTCACCCGGTGCTGTAGGCGGATAGAAGCCAGTTGAGGAGCAGAGCGGAGCAGGCTTCGACGGACACCTGGTGCGCCGGCGAGAGGCGCTTGTTCAAGTTGTGGCGTCTCCCGCGTGACGTCACATCTGTGTCACTCACCCGGTGCTGTAGGCGGATAATAGCCAGTTGAGAAGTAGCGCGGAGCAGGCTTCGACGGACACCTGGTGCGCCGGCGGCAGGCGCTTGTTCAAATTGTGGTATAGTGACGATACAAGCGTCTCTAGTCGCGTGACGTTGACACAAGCTGTAGGCTCCAATGTGTTGAGAGCGTTCTCGCGAAACGCCTCTATCACGTTCCATATGTCTATCACGTGCACTGAAACAAATAAGGTAGGGTTAGTTGACATCATTAGTCAATTGACATACTTTTTAAATGCTGGCAAAGGGTTTAACTAGAGGAGGATAGGGGAAGGCAGCTGCTCCCCCCTCTGGAAGTCACTTTGTGACTTTGTAGATGGGAGAAGGGACTTTGACTTTGACTTTGTAGATGGGAGAAGGGAGGGCAGCCCCCCCCCCCCCCCTCCCCTGTAAGTCACTTTATAACTCTGCCCCCCTACTTTATAGGAGCTAAAGCTAAGTCAAACGTCCCCCCTAAGCCAGAAGCTGAGTATGACATGCCCCCTCTAGGCCAGAAACTGGGTATGACTTGCCCCCCCTAGGCCAGAAGCTGGGTAATACTTGCCCCCTCTAGGCCAGAAGCTGGGTATAACTTGCCCCCTCTTAGACCAGAAACTGGATATGACTTGCCCTCCCACAGGCTAGAAGCTGGGTATAACTTGCCCCTCCCAAGATCAGAACCTGGATACGCCTATGGTGGCCACTAACTCGACGTTCGAACGATGTAAGAAGTTCAAACCACTCACAGTTGCACTTCTTCTGCACGTATCGGAGCTTGCAGGCGGTCCGGTACGAGGCGAAGCGGATGAGGTCGAAGTTCTGCTCTCGCATCTCCTGCAGCAGCTGCGAGCGCGGGTCGCTGGAGCCGCCCGCCGGCAGCGGCAGCGGCATGGGCGCTGCGCCCTCGCGCTCCAGAGACATCGTTGCTCCTGGATGATTGAGAGGAATATTTACATTTTAAAAATGACCCTTATGAATACGGATTTAGAATTGTTTTTCAATGGGACGACGTAACAAAATGTCAATGACAACAAATCGCTGCGATCCTATCGAGTAATCGTTCTATAAAAATGACCCTTGTGAATACGGATTTAGAACTGTTTTTCAATGGGACGACTTCTGAACGTCAGCGAGATCTTGACAGTCAAAATACGTGAATTAGGCCACTGGACTTACTTACACTGAGTTATTCTAGTTTAGCCTAGCGCTTAGTGCCAGTAGCCCTTATCCAATAATATCAAGTCATACTTTAAAAACACACTACAAATTAGGTCTGAGAAAGTAGGATTTTCAATATTGTAGTTTCTCTGAAGCTGACAAATACATGATGTCGCTATTGTGTAAAATTATTCTATTGCATAGTTTAAAGTACAGAGACAACTAACTAAAAGCTAAATAATTGGGTACCAAAATAATAATCAATAAATATTCACATGAACTTTACTACGGAAAAAACATTGATTGGAATGGAATATTGATGAACAAACAACCTACCTCAATAAAGATTTCAATTACGAACAATTATTGGCTATTACACTAACAACCAAACAACTGTTATGTGACACACTACTTTATCTCGTCACATCTGTTGTGTGAAATATGAATGCTAATAGGCTACAAGGTCAGAGATACTCAATATGCTGTATGAATTTTGTGATACAAACATTACTACAGCATCTAATCATTAACATAAATTGAATAATGTAACGTTTACAGAGGAAACTTCTTACGGCTGTGGCTTAGGAAATGTAGACCGTATTGTGGCATTATGTTTATGAATATTACTATTGAAGCGAGCTACATTGATTATACTGGATTACAAAAGATTTGTTACCATTTTGTTGATAATATGCAGCAAATGTTGGAGATCCACAAAAGAACAGTGGTATTCAAATACATATTGCATTACCTGAACAGGGTTCATGCCATCTACTCAATATGTACATTTTATTTTAAATCACACAAAATGAACATTACAGGAAACAAAAAGTTGGTACAGCACAACTCAGATAGACTTAAATGCTAAGCGATATCTTTGAAACAAATAAACTAGAACCCACCTTGAATAATTTTGTACCTCCAAGAAAACAAAAAATATGTGTCACAAAATATGAATACTGATTTTAAATTTCTCAACAATTTGCACAAGTAATTTACATAGAATGCTATTTCAGAGAATAACTTAGTGACACTGTTCCCTTGCAGAACAACAATATGTTAATTATGTACATCCAAACTAGGTTAATTAGAGTATTGACTACACCCAGAGTAACATGTTTACTATGATTCACACGTCATTTGAATAGCTGCATAGTGTCATCAATATTCAAACAACTCACAGTATAATGGGCACAATCAAATATCTGTGTGACGTAAAATAACTTCAAGGAAATAAAAACATTTAACTATTTCTCAGTCAAATAAATGTGTTCACAGATCCATGGCAGAGAATGCAGTGAGCGGTGTAAATAATAATATGCCATGAGATTAATTAACTGTAATAGAAGTAATTAAGAGAATTCTAAAAAAGTAGACTATAAAAAAATTGGCAAATTGGACAGTGCCCATTAGCGCTAATTGTACAGTAAAAAATATAAGCAGTCTAATCAATTAATGCACTACTAACTGTTGAATAGAGGCAAATCTGATATGCCAAGCATAAACATAAATATAAAACTTACCAACTCAGGCTGGAATATAATATGAAATAATAATTGATACGGTCAAGTGCATCTATAGCTGTTTATAAAATAATTTAATTTCCTAGCTCAAGGGACACCACAGAAATGGTTTTCGAACTTGTGCACTTATGCACCTGTTCAAAATTAATGGCTACCATCAGAAGTCCTCACCTTTAGATAATTACACGCTCATGAGTTTGTTGACATAGCGATAATGTATTCACGGTAAACTTCAAGTATTTTCGTAGCTAAATCGATTCAAGATAATGTTACCGATCGTCTATGATACTCATTGGCCGAATGTACACTAATATCACAATTGATCACCACACCAAACACCAATTTTATTTAACCCAAATTTCTACGACAGTTTCCACTACTTTTAAAGCTGAATAAAATAAAATAATCGCTATTTCAATAAAATTTACAGAAATCAACATTGACAAGTAAGTCTGCCATTGAAGCTACGATTCATTTTACAGTGTTCTGTTTATAGCTTCTCACTTATATTTTATTTATTAATTTTCATATGATTTAGTATTGTTATAACTTAGCCAGTTTTAAGTTTTATTTACCCATATTATTTTAAGAACACATTTTTGGTTTTATTTACTATTATAAATATTTAAATATTTTTTTAATTCATGATGGTTTATTTGCACATTACGTGTATTGAAACGTATTTTTAACTTTTTTCTCAGTATTAGCAAAGGTGTTGCTTATTATACAGCTTCTCATACAAAATAAATAAAACATATATTTATACAAAAAGGACTATAATTAAGATTAGAACTAAGGTTTATTTATTTATTTATAAGGTTATCTACCTACCATAAAGTTAAATAACACTTTATACCGAAAAGTGGTCGAAAGGCCTATAGAATCAGTGCAGTGACCAGACCACTGCCACTGCAATGATCATTTTCATGGCTATTTCAGCTCATTTCGTTTTACGGTCTACCTTTCAGTTTGATTAATAATTCGAGTGATTTTATCAAAGCCAGGGTGTCCCCAAGCATGGAGGTACTGCTCCCAGGTGAGACCTTTTTCCTTTTCTTCTTACTTTTTGGCGGGAAAGTGAAGCCACAGATTTTATAGATCTTTTACACATTCAGTTTGTGGCGACGCCACTACAAACTAGTGACCAACAGATGGCGCTGTCACTCCTACACTATGGCACACTCCGCCGCTCATACAAACCTGCATCGCGGTGACGGAGTTTTAGATCCTGCCAAGTATATACAGTGTGAGTCACGTTAAAGTGTACATATGAAAATAGATGAAACTAGACCTATTTTTATCGACAAAAAAGAGGTCAAAAATTTTTTGAGATTTTTTTTTAATTTTTTATAGATTTTTTTTTCTTCAGATTACTTATTGTAAAGAAAACGTAATAACTTTTAAACTAAGCGGTATATCCTGATAAAATAAAAACAGTAATAATGCTAAATAACAGGCGATACTAAAAAAATACATAAAATACACAAAAAAGGCCAACAAATAATAAAAAATGATACTTTTTGAAAAAAATCTGCTTAAAAATTCGTGTTTTTTTTGTTATTTGATAAATTTCTCCAAAAAATGCCCCTATAACTGGCGCTGTCACTCCTACACTATGGCACACTCCGCCGCTCATACAAACCTGCATCGCGGTGACGGAGTTTTAGATCCTGCCAAGTATATATAGACAAACCAAGATGGTGTAAATTGGACCTTGGTCCCCGAGCATAACACCCGCTCGGAAGGAAGCACTAACATCTAGCTTCCTTATTGTGGTTGAGCATCATATCCCACAAGTTTTTTTTTACATTTTGTCCGTGTTTAATGTGAATTAATTGTGTAGGTACTTACCTACTTATTCATAGGTAGGTTAATGTTTGTAAAAATTCATGAGTGTAGGCTTGAGGTGCAGGCAAGGCTTTACTAAAAGTGCAACATCATTAGATTCACTTGTGCGAAATAAATCTAAATTATAAACCATACTTACTGTGAACTCACGAAGCAAGAAAGAAAAAAATCTAGTTAATTTTAGAGGTAAGTAAAGTAAATAACCTACGAACTGAGTTTAACCTTAACAGCTACCTACTACGTGATATTTTGAATCAATAGAACTTTGTCTGATTGCTTGAAAAAAAGAGCCAGAAAGAGCCTAGGCTAATAATTTACCAAAGGCAGGCATTCGTCGTAATGACACTCAAGTAATAGTTACGTATTGGAGGTAGAGTTGTTGTTGTACGCAGGTTCTACTTAATTTTTGTATGTTTTTTTAGTCCTTTAAGACAAGCATATAAATAAGTATGGTAGGAACTGTATTCCCATGCTTTGTAAATAAGTAAAAGGATAATGAAACACTTCATTTATTTACCTAATACATTTATTTTATAAATAAATGAACACAGTTTACATTGATTCTTGCAGCAGACAATCTAATGTTGATTTCGGACAACACTAAGTATTTACAATAAAATTTAATAAAACTTGCACAACACTAATTTTTACGTTAAATTACAGTTTTCCAACATCATTAAGTTTTAACTCGCGTGGAGCATGCAGTAAAATACATGTACAGTAGAACGCCGATTATCCGAACGCCGATTAACCGAATCGCCAATTATCCGAATTGGTCCTAAGCGTAATATAAAAAATTAAAACCAAGTAATTTTTGATTTTTTTGTTAGAATTCGGATATATTTCAACTGAGCGTTGTTGTAGCAGTTCTACAATAACGCCAAGTAGGAAATATATCTGTTTGTTAAACTAATTAAAGTTTATTCTATGTGTGACAGTTGGTTTTTCCCTATTACCAGGCTATGTCCGATTATCCGAATTTTCGATTATCCGAATCGACCCCGGTCCCAATTAATTCGGATAATCGGCGTTCTACTGTACATACTTAAAAGGGCAAAAACTTAATAAAAAGTTTTATAAACTCGCGCAGATTTACACTAGATTGCTAAAACTTGCACCTATAGGAAAAAAAAAACATAAAATGTGAAGGCCAGGTATTCTCATTGCACCAGTTTTGGTGGTAACAAAGCAATTAATAAAATTGAAAAACAATTCATTATTCTGATACTCTTCTATCTCATTTTCATCAAGATGCCAGCATGAGAGATGAGACAGATACTTAATGAGGAAACTATGAGTTAGTAGTTACCTACTTATTTGAAAGAATGATGACGAAATGTCGATAGTATCTCGGTGTTAGCTATAATTTTTAATAAAGATTTTTGTGTTCATTTTGTTTAAGCAAATACATATCGGAAAATACAGTAGAATAAGTACGTCTGTTTTTATTGCTAGTAAGTAGGTAGTACATAAGTAACTACAATGTGTGTACAAAAATAGGAAGAAGCTCAAAATATCTTCAAACTCTACATTGTTTCTCGTATTCGATTATGTTTAAATAAGTACTTATATTAAGACGTGTGTACATTATTCAGGCATACAATAGATACAAAGATATTTTATATACAAAATTATTGTGTTTGTCACAGATTTGTTTGCGAGTTTGGTCTATAAAGGACGATTTCTTCTGAGATGTTCAATAGTTTCCTTAGTATTATTTACCATCCAAACAACATCATAAAATCATTTAGATAAATATGATAACAATTTACGATTTCTACATTTATTTTTACCACTACGCTCTCTACAATTTGGTAATAATAGGCCAGATATTATAAATATCAATAATTAATTATTCTATTAGATAAAATCTACCATCGTCGCTTAATAAACATACGATTCATATAACCATTCGCAACAATACGGTAAGAGTACATTTTATTAAACTCTTAAATTACATCAATACCTAAGGCATTGCCTAAAATACAAGGATCTTTTTTAAAGGACCCATTCACATTGGATGAGCACATCTAAGTTTTTTAAAACCTAAAAGACGCATAAGTATTTATCGATGTTACAAAAGCTAACGTAGTCCATGGAGTTTTTTACTTCCTTACTTTTTATTAAATAAAATTCACTCTGAAATATCCCACACGTTCATTTCTATATTTGACTTTCAATATTGTGAATAGGGCCTTATAAATTTTATTTTAATAAGTTACACTACAAGAATGTAAATGGAAGCAATAAAAACGAAACATTTTCACAAAGGAAGATCTTTTTCATTTTTACAATGAATATTCTCAAAAAGTAGATTACGATGAAACATCTTCAAGATATTTCGTCACCTTGCCCGCCGTGTCATCTTCAAAGTTCTTACGTCCCGCCCATGTCATCATCAGATGATTGCAAGAAGAAGCTTCTCTACCGGCAGTTCTGTCAACTGCCCCATGATTGTCAGTTTAGACGTAGAGCCAGTGCTTCCATGTGAATCTGGTAACCGGGGCGCCTCCACGTATCGCCTCGTGTTCGGATTCTGGTGAAATGCAGCAGGCTACGCGCTGTAGAAGAAGGCAGGTGATTAATTAGTTAGAAAAAATAAGAAAATAAGTCAGCCTGTCTATTACCTTTTCACTTTATATTGTTGAATTTCGTTCAGAAAAAGAAAGATAAGTACACCTTGGTTATTTAACGTGAAAATGAACTGAAATACGTATGTATTCTCAAGTTTGAATACAGTAAGTTCGTAAGTCATTAGAGATCGCTTCCTAGCGATAAGACCGCCTAGACTGTACAGTTTCCAATTTCTTATTGTCAATGTTTTGTGTGGTAGAAGTTCATTGATCTACAAGTTTACTTTTAGCCTAGGCGCAGACCACCAACTTTTAGTTGGCCGTTAGTTGGGTCGGGCATGTTAATCAGTATGGAGATGTATGAATGTAACCGGCCGAGTCTTCATACAAATTAAAATCGGGCCCAACTAGGGTCAGTTAATGAATAAAAATGTTTTTGAGTCATATTTTAGGTATTCTTCAGTAAGATACTCACTTGTCGACAAGTGCCAGGAGTCATAACGAACTTGTAGATAGCGACCAGGGGGATCATGAGTATGGAGGAGCAGGCCAGCCCCCAGCCAAGCACCACGGCCCACTGGGGGTAAGTGTACGTCTGGTACACCAACGGCTGCTGGTATAGGAGCCCGAATACCACCACGCCCTGGAACGAGAGATTATTGTAGGACTCAGACTGAGGGATATCATTTTTGTTCTCACCAGTTGACGCCACTGTAGAGAAAGGTCCTAATGGTCCTATCACTCGCTAGTGCTAAGCTGGGATGTTATGGATATTCGTAACCGTAACCGAAACCGGTATAATGTTATTCCTATATCCGTAACCGTATCCATAACCGAAACTACATATCCATAACATCCCTAGTGCTAAGACAGTGGCACCAACTGATGACCGCTGCAGAGGTAAGAGGATCGTTATTGCACTCACTAAAGTGTAGCGGTAAGTAGAAGACTATTATAAGTCACTAAGGTGGTTAAATCTTCATCAAATATTACTTACAATAATAAAAGTCGGGCTAACAAACTTCCAACATATCCGCCAGTACAGCCCAGGTCTGAAGCCCAGCATTTCCTCAACGTCATCCGAAAACTTTTTCAGTCCTGAAATCATTCATACTTGCATAAGTTGTGTATGAAATATTTGTGTATCTGATATACCTTACAGAAAACGGAGCGTAAAGAAGAATAGTAATTTTGAAACTGGCCATGCCAGGAACAAATTAATTAAAGACCGATGAATTGCAAACATACCATAAAACCAAGATACCGCGACAGCTTCGAAGAGAGCAGAACACAGCAGGGATATGCCAGCAGCGTAGGTGTCCAGTAGATGGAACATGTAGATCCCGCCCTGAAAATACCAAGAAAACAAATGTAGAGTCTGCACCTTCAAGCTTTGCTTATTTCACCTTTCACCTTATACTTACTATACCATTTTTATCACCATGATTGGCTACTTTTGATTTGTTCGAAGTCCTACAGCTGGCCTAGAATGCACGCCATGATAAAATCTTATCGATGATTTAGACGACACGGGCTTGTCGTGCAAATTCGATAAAATGCCTCGATAAAAGTTTATCGTGGCGCGCATCTTAGGCCTGTATAACATGTTCTGGATTTATGGGTCTCCACGACATAAGAAGTTCTGTAAGAACTGTAAGTTCTGTGCTCAAAATCCTGTAGCTACTTCAAATATTAAGCTGTTCTAACTTACAGGAGTGACATTGATGCAAGCCACGCAGAAAGACACGCAGACCACGACGAAGGTGAAGTGCTCACGACGCAGGTGCTTAGCGCCGCTCGCGCGAGCTGCATCTAGAAGGCCGGTGATCACGCACTCCAGGCCACCCATCTAAAAATATCATTAATTACCGTCAGGTCATTCAGGAAAGTGTAGTTCTTTACAGAAGTGGGTAGGTAATCAACCAGACATCACGAGAAAAACTTTAAACTAAAATGTTCCACTTACTGGCTCTTAGAAAAATATAGGTGGTCGAAAATGTTGATACCTAATAATCTGATTCTCGTTTTGCTCAAGGAAATTAAGACCACGCATTGTAAATTCAAACATTTCAAAAAGAAACAGGAAGTGCAACTTTGCAATATTTATAACCACTTACTCCAGAATCTAATCCAAGCATTATCAACATGAAGAAAAACAGCATTGCCCATAGACTGGCACCAGGTAGCGTAGCAACTGCTTCAGGGTACACTTGGAACACCAGACCCGGTCCTAAAAGTAAAACCAATACATAAATACCTACTTAAGTATCCCCTAGCAAAGAACTAGGTACTGCATTGGACCATACATCTTTTCACATACCTTCAGTAGCCACCGAGGATATGGGCACACCCTGTTTGTACGACATGAAGCCCAAGTACGTGAAAATGACGAATCCGGAGAAGAAAGATGTGAAGCAGTTTACTAGGGTTGTCACAAGGCAGTCTCTGAAAAAAAAAAGAAAATGTAGAAACTCTTTCGATCACGTTATCTGGCAATAGGTCTTAGGTATCCATAGCTCAATTGTTATAAATAAATTGTAATAATTACCGATAGCAATTATTGTGGAAGGTATTGTAGCTTGCATATGACAGGTGAACTCCGAAACCAGCGCCCACCGAGTAGAATATCTGGACAGCAGCGTCTACCCACACCTGTGAAATGGAGACAGGATCTTAACCATACATAGGAGCCTAGAAGGTACGTATATTTTTATGACATTATAATTTTAAGCAGAACAAGCGCAGCCATAATAGTTTCACATGCCAACTCTTCACGAGAAGAGGCCAGTAATTACAGGAGATCGAAGCTGGAGCAAAGAATTCCGGAGTACAAGTATCAAGCTATGGTCGTTATCTACCATACCACTTTACCTGCGTATCCTTCAGTCTAGTCAGCTCAGGCTGCAGATAATACGCGATGCCCCTCGTCGCTCCGGGCAGCAGGAGGCCTCGGGCCAGGAGTATCGACAGCACCACGTAAGGCATGGTAGCTGTCATCCACACCACTTTACCTGGAAAATTGATTTACGATGATGCAAAAATATTTTTTTTTTTTTCATTTGAAGACCTATTTAGTTGTCACTTGTTGAGAACGGCTTGCATCAAATTAGTTAGTTAATTAATTTATTTATAAGTAAATATGATAGTTAAATCTATCATGAAGTCACATGCAATGAGAACGAGCGATTAAGCTCCCTTTAAACTTGACTCAATTGGGGGAAGCCGGGGCATGGTCTTGGTGGTAATTGCTGACGTAGTGAGGTCAGCATTACCTACAAAATGCCAAGAAACCATCTGCTGTGTTAAGTAGTGAAACACCGATGTAGCAGAACCCCGGCCATTCCGCGTCATCCACGTTCTCGTCGTCCACCCTGGGACCTGCTGCAGCCACGCTTTGCGTGCCCACTACCTAGACTTGCAGCTGAGCTGAGGATGCAGGGCGAAAGGCGAGTATTCTGCGCCTGAAAACAGAATCCCATCACTAGGGAGGATACCCGGAAAAAACCGAGCGAGTCCAGAAGCTCTGAGGTGGCAGCCCCACCACTGGACTAGGGTACAGCAGGTTAATCACCCACTTGCCCGAAAATACTCGATTAACGAAACGAACACATCAATTGGCGTAAAACCCTAATGAATGAACTTATTCTCCTGTACATATTTTAGCTTTGGTGAAGTTGTTGCTTACCAGAACTTTTGACTCCTTTGAAGAGTGAGAGGTACAGCGTGACGTAGACGAGCCCGAGGCAAACTGTGAGCTGCCATTTGGGGAAGCCCAGGTCATTGAGGCCTTCCGAGTGTTGCATCTCGAGCACTGCCCGGCTGCAAGTTAAATAAGTACCCAATAACATCATCATGATCTTTCAAACACGATCAATAGCCACGATAGCCGAACGGTGAAGGGGTCGGAGTGGCCGACTCGCGAGATCCGATAGGAACGCCGGTTCTAATCCCACCGCCGCTCGACTATTGTGGTGAGCACACTCGTAACACAAGCTTATTTAGCTTAACACGAGGGGCTAACGGGACTATTAGTATTTTGGGCAATACAAATCTTAAAAATAATAATCTTAAAAAAAAACCAACTTGACTGGTGCTATGCACTTCCCAACACTAGTTTAAGATTACTGCCGAAAAAAAACCATCTCTAACTGGTAATCCGTACCGGGATGTCACGTGAAGCCATTACTGCCTACATTCGTTTTAGTTCAATTTTTGGTCAGCATTTTCAAATCGATGGAAATTAAGTAATATTGTTTGTTCATGAGCCCCGTAAAAACGATAGTTAGTATACGTTTACATGAGTCCATTAAATTAACGATTCTATTAAGTAATTCGTTCGAGGACTTTTGAGGCTTACAAAATCAATGTATGAGGTATTCAACATACTGAAAGAACTCCGAAGCCGGTGTGAAGTGCGACAAAGGTCCTTGATAAGGTATTTCGGTCCGGTTGGTGTTGTTGAGCCTTGCGGCATCCCAGCACTGGTCGGTGTTCCAGGCGTTGTCGCAGTGCACCCACGGGAGCTCTGAGCGAGCTGACGATACCAGGAAGTAGAAAGCCCAACCTGGAAGAAAAAGTAAGGTACTCATCGTATTTTAAAACTTGTTTGCTTGATATAATTTGCTTCACATCATTCATGTGACTATTAATTCTTGCCACCGTTGCAACTATTGTGTACCTACTTAGGATCACAGTAATAAAAACTCAGCCAGTTATGGTCAAGTGTGTTTCAGGGTATCGTCAAACTGACTAATGCTATGGACTCGGAAGGAAATTAATCAGAAGAAACTAGGTTACTCTGATTAGGAATCTGAGATGAAATTCATCAAAGTTTAAGATTAAGCTCTATATCGTAGCAAGTCCTCTCGAGACGCACTTCTAGCACAAGGTGCGTTATTCAAATACTTAGTTAACTTATTACAGTGTAAAACGAAATTTTACGATCGCCCTCCAATTGCCAATGGATTAACGGCCGATGTAACCACTTGGCTCCAGTATTCGCTTGGAAATACTCCAAATGCACCACTAAATAACATGCCAATCTGATAACGGTAAACTGTGCTTGATTTGTTCGATTTAAGTCTACTATTAACATTGTGCTGGCTCAGGAAGACAGTGTCTACCCTTAAATATATTTCCGACTATAAAATTATCACTTCACGGGATTTATTGCAACAATTATTATTAATTTATTGATGCAATAAATCCCGTGAAGTGATAATTTTATAGTAAAAAATGCAACATAATAGTTTAAAATACATATTATATTTCCGACTGCATTGTATCACTATCAACTCAAAGGTCCAATGACAGTTTAAAACTTTCCCTCAGGACCTTGGCTCAGGACAAACTTGACATTAACTGGTTGGGTTTTTATTGGCGGTCAAGCTGAAGATCCTGGCTACACAGGAGTTGCAGCGGCGGGAATAGCCCTGTTATCGACTACATAAACTATTACAAACAAAACACGCTAAGATGTAACTTACTCACCAATAATAACATTATAGTAAAATGATACGTAAAATGCGACCATCACCGCACAAAATCCAACACCTGAAAAAAAACACAGATTTTCAAATGACATATCAAACTACAACTTAAATTGGTTATGTAAGTCATTTCATTAGTATTTTCGGCAAATCATCATCATCATAATTTCAGCCAATTCATTCATTATCATCACCATGACTTCAGCCACAGGACGTCCACTGCCACGCCACAAAGTACGATAAGTATCCCGTATTTTTCATCCAATCCAGTGATATCGTCGATCCATCGAGCATAACACACCACAAAAGTAATTACCTACATCTTGAAACTACATACATACCTTTGAACAAAGGGCAGATCTTCCATATAGTTATGGGCCCTTGTCGGTTGTACTGTCCTAGAATGAGTTCCATGTAGAACAGCGGCACCGCCCCGAATATAAGCATCAATGTGTACGGAATGAGGAAAGCCCCTGAAAATGGAAATAATTAAAAATTTCATGATATACCTACTTGTAATTAATTATAGTACCATAATAAAAAACAAATTTAAATCCACTAGAACAAAGATGAAAAACACTTTATCAGCGATAGTATCTTAATGACGTAGGATGTCCATGTAATAGTATCCTACACATTTACATTTTTCACATCAAGAATACCGGTAGTATTAAATAATATTATCAGCAGTCATTATGGTTCATTACAGTCGTACAAAGACTTTAAAGTACTACAATTTTCTGAAATATTTAATATCGTTACCAAATGGAAACAAAAGCATACACTTAGCATCTGGTTATTCTCACCACTCCCATTACAATGCTTTTAATCATAATAGCATTGCTGCACCCAAAACGTTCTTCGTAAGTGCATTATGACATCTCTGAATAAGGTGCTAAATAGTGGTGTGCCTGTGTTGTCCGGGTGTAATGTCGATACCTATTTAATGCGTGACTAATTTATCGATAAATTATCGATCTATTAATAATATCTAAAATTTGTAATTTAATATGAAAGTACATTTTCCTACTGTTTTACTTCTACCTACGGCCCGAAAAATCAATCAAACAAATTATTGGTTAACATTACAAGCAAGTAAGCCTTTGGAATCGATGTTCTGCGAGGCCCACACATATTATGGTTAACGTTGTCATTATTTGCGTGCATATTATGGTTACCTTGAAATTACAAATACATTGTACTTATACCTCCTCTCACAACAACCCCTACACGTTCTTGGTTTTTGGCAAGAAACCAATACCGGTAGGTACCACTCTCCACAATCTTTCGATATCTGCACGCGGTACATCCCTAGCCAGCCGCAGCACTCACCGCCGCCATTCCTGTAGCAGAGGTAAGGGAAGCGCCAGACATTGGCCAGGTCCACCGCGAACCCGATGATTGAGAGCAGGAAGTCTGCTCCCGTGCCCCATGTCTCGCGACCGTCGTCTGGGTCTGGAGGTGAAAAAAGTGATAGGGACACAAAGAACTCACTTTTAAAGAACATGTGCGGTAAAGAATACAACCTTTTATGAATTTTCAATTTTTGGTGGTTAATAAATTGAGATGAATAATAATTTGGGAAGGAACTTTTTATTAGCGTAGTAAACAGTCGTATCTCAAACTAAATTTTAAATAACTTATAAGTCGAATTGACTAAGGTGGGAATTGAACCCACGACCATCTACCTACTTTGAAGAGCAGTCGCCCGGTTGGAGAAAGGTCGAGGGATAGATTCTCACCTTAAGCGATTCAATTTTTTCATGTTATTTAAAATTTAGTTTGAGATGCGACCGTTTACGCTAATAAAAAGTTAAAAAATATGGCTTTTGTCTAGAGATGAATAATATTTCGGGAAGGAACTTTTTATTGTCGTAAACAGGCGCATCTCAAACTAAATTTTAAATCTATACTAATATTATAAAGCTGAAGAGTTTGTTTGTTTGTTTGTTTGGTTGAACGCGCTAATCTCAGGAACTACTGGACCGATTTGAAAAATTCTTTTTGTGTTGGATAGCCCGTTAGTTCCTAAAGGCTTTAGGCTAATTATTATCACGCTTAGACCAATAGGAGCGGAGCACCAATCAATAATATTTCAAATCGGTGATTTTTTTCCTTTTGAGAGCTGACGCTGCGTAAACGGTTAAAGTTTCGCAAAAATCATGTATGACAGGATTGTTCCCCTTTAAAAGTTCTTTAAAAAAGTCCGCGGTAGCATATGTCTATCTTTTAAGGTTGGCTCATAGTAACCATTTTTATGCAAAAAAAAATCTGTTTTAAAATAATGCATTATTTGCGAAGGTGTTTTTATAAACATGATATTAATCCTTATCCAAATAAATAAATTATTCACCACAAGTATTTAATTTTAAACATTCTTGCCCTTTACACCATTCGATTTCAATAAATATCTTAGGAGATATCGCAGTTTTAAAATCACATCGCAGCAAAATAATGATCAAGTACTACGCGCGCTACTGATGGATCAATGCACAGCCTAAACCGCTGATCGTAAAGATTTGAAACTTGGACGGTATGTTCTTTGTATGACGTAAGCATCTGATAAGAAAGGATTTTCCAAAATTCTACCCCTAAGGAGGTAAAAAGGAGGGGCAAAGTTTGTATGAAATAACGAGATTCCTTCGTCCAATCTACTTAAAATTTTGCATAAGCATTCTATAACAGAATTAATGGAAGACGTGTTTCGTATTTTAGTGAAATGCACCCCCTAACTATGTTAAAAAGGGGTAGAAAGTTATTTTAGTGGTGATTTGCTTCAAAGTTGATATTAATTACTCATTAGTGCATTTTTTTACAATCATGACGTCATGTTAACGACTACCATACTCTAGGGGCCTCCACTTAACCTCGGAGTGGGTGCCCGCTGCGTGCGCTCGCCCAACAATGCATAGTAATGCATGAAAGTCATGCCGCGGGCACCTGCTTGCGCTGTATACATAAACTCATTTTCGCGCGAGAGTTTTGGCGGAGGCGCTTGAGGTAGTGGGAGTAGTCTTGAGGAAAAGCTCCTTCTCCCACGGCCAGTGGCATGCTGGAAGCTTGGTGATTCTAGCACCCGTAGGAAAATATAAAAAAAAGTTTACCAATAATACTGCGGTAGGTGTAGTTTTCGATTTCGTTCACCGGATCAAAGGCCGAGCTGCATATTCATAAAATATAAGAAAAAAATATTTTCATGTTTATTTAACCTGATTTTTATATTTTAAAAGTATTCAAACATTTAGATAATAACGTTAAAACATTTAAAAATAATCGTATGAGAACGTTTTCGACTTCTCCACGGACGAAGTCGCGGGCAAAAGCTATTTGTAAAATAATTAGACTAAATTAATAAAAGTGCCTACCCAAAGTCATTATTCCACGCGGACGAAGTCGCGGGCACAGCTAGTAACTTATAAGTCGAATTGACTAAGGTGAGAATCGAACCTACGACCATCTACTTTGAAGAGCAGTCGCTCGGTTAGCGAAGGGTCGAGAGATCGATTCTCACCTTAGGCAATTCAATTTTTTCAAAATATTTTAAGTGCTGAAATGAATGTTTTTATTTTAAAACATGCAATAGTATGAAACAACGTCACATAGCTTTGTAAATAAATAAGTACCTAAGGGACCATTTACTGCGGAAAAACAAAAAGTTTTCATTCAATGATATACCGAATGACTACAATGCTTCGTGGACATGCTACGAAGTAGTAACACGCATTCGCTACGAGGCCATGAGTCGTAGCACTGTCGTAGCCTCGTAGCTTATTTATATTTACTTAGTAGTTTCGTAGTAGCATTTGCTACGATAGTATTATTCTGTAACTACGTGTAACTCTTACTTTTGGTGAATTCTTAAATACATTTTCATGGTCCTTAAGTTGCTTAGAAAATATGCTTACCTCCTGGTTTAAGACTACTCGTTCTAACTCGTTTTGAACTGTCACTATAGATACATTCTTCTTCTATTTGTATTTTAGGCTCCTCTGCAGACAAAAACACAAAATATTCAAATGTTTAATAGCAATAGGTACATGTAAATTAATTTTAAATATTATTTATAGATCGCTTACTTTTGTAACACGACAACGTCACAACGGAGCCCTTCGTTGATTTGTGATCTGTAACAAAAGAAGTTCGTTAACTTTTATTATAACCCAAGTATCAGCATGGTATTAGTTAGCTACGTTTCTGAGCTCTCCTTTACCTACACACTGTGTCTCTTATCTGAACATTTATAGCTACCTACTAACATTATAAATACAACAATTTCACTCTATTGTCTATTTTTACATGTTGCTCCTTCGAACAATATCGATGAATGCGACTTAATCGAGTTGGGAGTCCGCTGCTGAGACCGTCCATTATGGTGAATTCCTTCATACCTTGAACTTGTCGCCTGAAAAATAACTATACTACCTTTCTCTGCGTATATTACGTATTCATAAACTAGCCTAGTCACAAAATCCTTTACCAAGTGACCCTAACCGAATTCGTCCACGCACCTGTCCCTATTTCCTGGCATCCGCCGTATCTCAATGCCCGCCGACTTAATACCGCCGGCATTCGCGCCGCATAATGGGATGCCGATGTGGAAAAATTCCGCAATAATCCCGAGGTGCGGATCTATCGGAATTCAAAAATGGAACTGGAATGTGAGGCGTGCGCGCCGGCATCCGGTAACGACTTTATTAAACGCCCCAGTTTGATTGCTATATTTTTTAATCGGTTGATCAATTAGCATATTTTAATGGGTTTGCAAATGGCATTATATGCTTATAATACGTGGGTAAAACGCAATTGAGACTGAGATGACGCGGTCTGTTCAAGCTGGTCGATTCCCAGTGGATACAAATTAACACGAGCATTAAATCTGGAGCTACCGTCATTTGACATTCATAATTATGTTTGTAAATGTGTTTGCCCGCTTTCCAATCGCGAATATCTGCCTAAATACAATGTTATTCATATCGTAATTGTAAAATATCTACTACACTACTTTTTCTGCTATGTTGTCTGTTTCACCTGTCCCGGAAGCTGTCTGTTTGTAAATCTAATCTTACAAACTCAATTGACCCCGATTCCGATTTAGCCGAAATTTTACATAGGTACCTACCTACGTAGTTGGAAATAAATGCATTTTTAGTAATCCCGAAAATAGGACGTATACAGTGTGAGTCACGTTAAAGTGTACATATGAAAATAGATGAAACTAGACCTATTTTAATCGACAAAAAAGAGGTCAAAATTTTTTTGAGATTTTTTTTTAATTTTTTATAGAATTTTTTTTCTTCCAATTACGTATTGTAAAGAAAACGTAATAACTTTTAAACTAAGCGGTATATCCTGATAAAATAAAAACAGTGATAATGCTAAATAACAGGCGATACTAAAAAAATACATAAAATACACAAAAATTGCCAACAAATAATAAAAAATGATAAGTTTTGAAAAAAATCTGCTTAAAAATTCGTGTTTTTTTGGTTATTTGATAAATTTCTCCAAAAAATGCCCCTATAACAGGTGGTTTTTATTGTTTTGTATTATTCTCTATCGTATTACCTTTGTAAAACCAAAAATTGCATGTCTCTATCCCTATCACAACATTTGCTATGATAGTTTGAACAAAGGCCTACCACAACATTATTCGTAGGGACAATTTTAATTTTAACTAAAATGCTTATTTTACTTCGAAATCTTTTGTTTTTACTTGAAATCTAACTTGTCTTTATCAAAATTACAAATCTAGAGCCATTTTCAGTTTCGTTGTTAGCGAAGCGTTGAATGGCGCGCCCGGAGAGGCTTAGTTCAAACGATCATAGCAAATGTTGTGATAGGGATAGAGACATGCGATTTTTGGTTTTACAAAGGTAATACGATAGAGAATAATTAAAAGTAATAAAAACCACCTTTTATAAGGGCATTTTTTGGAGAAATTTATCAAATAACCAAAAAAACACGAATTTTTAAGCAGATTTTTTTCAAAAAGTATCGTTTTTTATTATTTGTTGGCATTTTCTGAGTATTTTATGTATTTTTTTAGTATCGTCTGTTATTTAGCATTATTACTGTTTTTATTTTATCAGGATATACCTCTTAGTTTAAAAGTTATTACGTTTTCTTTACAATAAGTACTTGAAAGGAAAAAAAATCTATAAAAAATTTAAAAAAAATCTCAAAAAATTTTTGACCACTTTTTTGTCGATAAACATAGGTCTAGTTTCATCTATTTTCATATGTACACTTTAACGTGACTCACACTGTATTTATTTAAATGTCCAGAGAGCATAGACGTATCTACAAAATCTAAAAACCGGAATTAAGTTACCTACATTCAATAAAAAGTCTTAGACTGAGTTGCACCAACTAACTTTAACGGTAACTATGACGATTTTGTAAGGTGTTTGACAGATTTTTTACGTTGTGTCGTTGAAGTCAAAGTAAGATGGTGCAACCCACCCTTATAGTTTACTAAACTTTCACAACAAAACAAAATTGATTATTAGAAATTTCTCATTTCGTACCATTAGGTGATACCACAGATGACTGGCCAGTAATAATCGACCGCCTAAACCGTTAAATATTGGCTCATCAAAAATTAACAATCTCCCCGACGTTCCCTTGATGATTTCCGAGTCCAATTTTTATTACGCAGCATCAATTTTTGGAATATTATCCTTTCCTTTGAAGCAGGGTTAACAAACTTGATCAAATATTTTGAAAACACGTGAGTTTTATTTGTAAATAAATACTTACAACTCTACATAATATTATTATAGCTACGTTACTATGTGAAATTGTGAATACCATTTTCTTACAGCGTCTTTCTTTAATGGAATAGTATGTATTTTACAAGAATACTCTATGTAAAGTTCACTGCCTCGTAAGCTTTTATCCCAATGGAAATCAAAAGCAGACTCAATTACAGGTACTTAATGTATCTACCTACTTGGTAAATACCTACCTCTAAAGTTATGGCATAATTTATGAGGACTGCACGATATCATAAGTGTTGTTTTATTATGTTTTTCGTTTTTCATGCACCAGTTATATTCATCATCCATTCCTCATCTAAAATTTTCGCGTTTATCAAGTTTTGAGACACTTCAACTTTATATTGCATCTTATTTTAAATCTTTTCAGCGGGTAACCTGACAATATTGGCAAAAATTGGAATCTCAATGCCGTGAAGCTGCAAAAAACAAAGCAACGGAACCCGAGAGCACAGCTTATTGCCTCTTCACCTCCGTCTCGTTGACTAGGCCAAACAACTTTATTGTTTTCCTATAAGCGCCGTCGATGTTATTGGTCGTGAAGTGAGAGTTAATTATCCGATACAATTGAAAATTCCTGCGATGCTTCAATGCCTTGGTCAATAATGACTTCGTGGCTGGATCGTTAAATTGGGAAGAGCAATAAGACCGTTTCAAATATCAATTCTTGACTTCTAAGCTGCCCAATAATTTTCGAGTTACACAGTGGTCTCTTATAGGGTTGTCTTGACATTCTTCTGCATTATTGCACTATTTTAAGCTACCCCTAGTTTGGATGACCGCGCTATATCTGTTAACAGTCTGCACGCCCCTGAGTAGCTAGCGCCGAGTCAGTGGTGCGGGGCAAGCGCGCTGTTTCTCGTAAGATGACGCCAGGGTTGTGACCTCATTTATTGCTCCAACCCACATAATACAAGATGTTGAGCTCACTTACCAAAAGCCGTCAGCGCTGCGGCTCAGTAGCGCAGGACTAGCGCAATGCAAGGAGGTCGCACACTCACCAAAAGCACGCGGGGTGCTACTCGCTGAGCAATATCCATCGTCGCGTACACTGCGGCCGCCGGGCGTGCCACTAGCGCCGCGACTCAGTAGCGCGGGACTAGCGCGCTCATCCTCCTAAGATGACACCGGACTCTGACTCTGACCTCAACTCACACGATAGGAGAAGTAAAGAAAACCTGACTCACCAAAAGCACGTGGGGTACTACTCGCTGAGCAATAGCCATCGTCGCGCACGCTGCGGCCACCGGGCGTGCCACTAGCGCCGCGGCTCATTAGCGCGGGACTAGCGCGCTACTCCTCGTATGATGACACCGGACTCTAACCTCCAACTCACACGATAGAAGAAGTAAAGAAAAACACACTCACCAAAAGCACGTGGGGTGCTACTCGCTGAGCAATAGCCATCGTCGCGCACGCTGCGGCCGCCGGGCGTGCCACTAGCGCCGCGGCTCAGTAGCGCGGGACTAGCGCGCTGCTCCTCGTAAGACGGGGCCGTGTGGGTGACCACTCCGCTGCCGGAGAGGGAGGCCTGGGTAAATTAGTAATTTCAATTAAATTAATTCATTTAAATGTTTCCTATTAAGAAGCAAAATTAGCCTTAACAATAATTAGGTAATAGTCAAAGTCATGGTATATTGCTCAGGACTAATAATCCTTAAAAAAAGGCACGAAAATTCTTGTATAATTTAAATGGCTATAATAGACATCCGAACTCGAAAGATACCTATCGCATTAATTTATTTAGAAAAAACTGTCCTGATTGAGCAACAAGCCATTTCATAATTATAACCTACGTAAAGTTCCTACTCGTATATGAAACAACCTTGACCTTTAACCTTGTAAAATTTCAATAGATATCTGGATAAACTGGATAAAAACCAGATTCAAAGAATTTATCAGTCGAACAAGCATTGTTTCGATGCACGTGTAAACCGTAACAAAATAGGCGGCATTTCATGAAGCCTTATTGTTTGAATTGACAGGTTCCGAGGCAATGATTATTGTTTTATCTGGACTCGAAACAAATGATTGATATTCCGTATGTGGAGTAGGATTTCCAATGCACGTGTAACGAAACGAAAACATTAAGTAGTTTAGTCAATAGCTAACTTTTATTCATGATAACAAACTTAATCGAATTACGTCGATATGAAGTCTCGATAATCATATAGCTTTGTAATCCAATTAGGTAGTTAGTTACTTATTTCCTTGAATTCCAAACCAACTAGGACTTAAGTAAGAAATCGATACCTAAGTACTTGAACGACACAATTATAAACTTCTTCGAATGTTATGATGTATGAACAAAGTCAATTTTTTCGCTGTTAATAAAGCTCGCGTCATTAAAAGTGAAAAAATAAAATATCCGGAAATAATACAAAAAGTATGTAACAAAATTGATCAATTAAAGCAAAGGTACCTCATCAACTAATTTCCGTCAAAATCTCCTACCAATTTTACGTAGATAATTCCGTATTGGTTCTTGCCCTACTATTCGTCTTTAAGATTGTAAATTAGCCATCTTTCGATTCTTACCATAGTAGGCACCTTCTCAGGGTAGCCATCCTTGTCGCAGTGGTGCCTCCGGGCCGGCAGCGCATTCGTCAGGTCCGGTTTATGGCCCTCATCGGAATCCTGTACAAATAATTTTTTAACATTTTAAAAATATCGATCACACACATTTTCTTCTGCATTGAGATGTCACACTACGAGTAGTACCCACTTTGTGCTAAAAGCTCAAAAAGTTAACAGGCTTTTGACCAATTCCTATTGAATTATATGAAATGATGATTCCTTTTCAGAAGCAAAGCTACTAGAAAATAGAATAATAGGTAGGTTCAATTTAGTAAATATCTTCAGTAATTAAAACATTAGGATTACAAGTGTATTTTCAGGTAGACCATCTTCGGCTTAAAGTTACGAAGTTGAAAGTGAAAATACTTTTGCGAATCCTTTAAAGTGTTTAGAAGAATTTTAAAGCGCGGTATTTATTTAATTAAAATAATGATGTTATCAAGTTTTTCTTTGTTAAGAAGCTATGTAAAAACCCGTAGATAAAGTGCAGTTACAATAGATAAAATGTGAAGGTAAATCATAGTAAGGTAGATAAAATAGATCTTAATTTATCTGTCAATATTAGGAAGCGCAGCGTACAACCGGTCTGTGTGGAAATCTGTGGGGGGCCTTTGTCCAGTGGACGTCCTTTCGCTGAAACAAAAATGTGAAAACTGAAACCCACCTGAGCCCTGTGAGGCGAGGAGCCACGTCGAGACCCGCTACTGGGGGACCTGTTGCTCGCCTCTGAAACAAAACAAACAACTCTTTTTGGTAGAACATAATATCGTGTTTTCAACCGACTTCAAAAAAGGAGGAGGTTCTCAATTCGACCCGTATGTTTTTTTTTTTCTATGTTTGTTACGCGATAACTCCGCCAATTATAAACCGATTTTAACAAATCTTTTTTCTGCGTATAGGTAATACCTCAAGGGTGGTCCCATTTAAATTTAATAACATAAAAACCAACCCCCAAGGGTGGAAAATTGGGGATGAACTTTTTTATACGCAATATCTCCGCCGATTATAAATCAATTTGAACGATTATTTTTTTGTTGAATAGGTATTATCAAAAGGGTGGTTTCATGCGAATTTAAAGAAAATATTTCACCCCCAAGGGTCGAAAATTGGGGATGAACTTTTTATACCCAATATTTTCAATTTTTAGTTTTTTTTTGTGTTCACGCATTTGAAATCGGTTTTATTTTTAAAAAAAGTTAATTATAGTTGCAGTTGAGACATATAAAAAGTTTAAAAAAAGTTCCTGGACTACATCTACAAAACATACGTTAATGCTTATGTAATGAATCCCATTAATTAGGCCCAGGTTAATTACTACTTGCACCCTCAATGCCACGTGCCGCTGCATGTGACGGCTGCCGGCGATTGTTCGATGCACGTGAAATATTGCGATTTGAGTCTACACGGTGAAAGACTTGTTTCTGTGTTTGTTATTAGGTATGTTCCTAGTTGTGGTTTCATCATATTACGATCGTGACATGTACTTAACTAACACAGAAAAGAAATTAAAACTATACCAAAACGTATTTTGTAGATTGTAAATTTATTGATCGGTGAAGTGGATATTAAACAAAATAAAATAATTTAACCCAGCTGATTTTCATTCTATGTACAGTCACGGAATGAAAAGGTTCGTCAGTTTTCAAATTGATTCCTTCAACGAATCGCGAGCACATATTACCTTTTGAAACTATGTTACAAAATAATCTCGAGTTAGAGAAAATAATCTTTAACTGTTCGTCAGTAAAGTTCAAAATCATTCAGATCAAAGTTGTTTGACGATTTATCTTGTCAAGAAGATTAATAAGATTGATAAACTAAAACCTTCTTATTGGTTCAACCTGCCATTATTATTTTTCTTAAATAAAAAAACCTATTGTCAATTGGTCAATGTCATCATTGCATTGCACTGATGGGATAGAAAAATAAACGAGCAAAACCTTATTCGTTAGCAAACGACATATTTATTTAAATGTTAGCAGCACTGTTTCTTGCATTGTTATGTTGGCAGGTTTGACTCTTACAGTACCTAGTGCAAGCGAAAACCGACACTAAGGTGACGAACCTTTTCATTCCGCGACTGTACCTAGCTACTTATAAACAATACTAATAAAACATTACTGTAAGCTTTAAAATATAAAATCTATTTCTAAATACACAAAAAAGTTGTAGATATGTACAAAGCCTGTAATTTCCTAGAGTAAGTAGAGTAAATATTGATTTAATGATAAAGCTCTATGTCATTAAATACTTTAGCAAACAGTCAACTTGAGTCCATTGTAGTAATAGACAATAACAAAATAACAATGTTTTTACGTGGTTGTATAGTAGTACAAATGCACAAGGTCCAAGCTGTCACTAAGCTTCGTTTCAAAAAAACGCTGCGGTTACCCCGTGGTCGCGTTGCGGTCACATTACGCCTTATTCATGCCAGTTGTATAAAACTATTAAAAACTTGGAAAACAATTATTTAGATCATTTTTATGCGTTCTGCCTGTTTTATTAACATCTTCGAAGACATAAAAAAATCAATCATTAGACCTAAACATTTTCTGTTTCAAATCTATCTCTCTCTAAGTTTCTAAGACGGAACTGAAGGTATCCTACATTGAGTTTTGTGGTGGGAAACTTGCCTTTCGATCGGCTACCAGTTGTGTGGTTCTCTGACTTCGTAGTCGCGTTCATTACGCTTCGCGAAGTAATAATTCCTCTAATCAGTTGCAACTTGGTAATTTAGAATGTTTGTTATTCAATCAAAAGCGTAAACATATTTACCTAAATGAATAAAGATACAAACACACATGATGCTAGTAAAATGACATGCTTATTAGCAAATTTAAAAAGAGAGAGAATAAGTTCCAAAACGTATATTATATATTTATAGCAATGCATAACTGAAAAGAAACTGCACAGCTACGGTACAGTCAGCGTCATATAATTCGTGACACCTAAAGTAGCTAAAAAGCTCGCAACACGCTTTGTTACAATTGGAATAAGGTTGGGTTGTCAACTTTTTGGCCACTTTGGGTGCCACGAACAATTTGACGCTGACTGTACTAACTTTCCAATTAAAAATACACACTACTGTTTATTATTGTTGCTGCAAAAGTCTTTTAAATGAAAAGAAAACACTCGATAAAGTTTTCAACCGAGCAAAACAGCTCATGTAAAAACTTTTAATAAGCAAGCCAACTCTTCAAATCAGTTATACTCGTGCAGTTTCACACAATACTTTCAAGGGTTTGCACGAGCTTTTTAAGTTCATTTCGTATGAAAAGCTCTTATGTGCCTTAAGCAATAAGTGATCGTGGTTAAAAGAACTTTAAAAGTCTATAGACGCAAAATAAGAGAAAGAGGTTTATAATAATGCTTACACGAAATATGGTATTTCATAAAATAAGGCGAGTCCAAAAAGACTTCGGCCGGGTGTTTATAAAAATTGAAAAATTTAATTTTAATCGAGAATATGTAAATATAAAGCAAAATTAATAACCTAATTTGGCGTCCAGGTAATGTGTTGATGCGCAGTAGGAATGAGCTTGTACAGTCGCGGAATGAAAAGGTTCGTCACCTTAGTGTCGGTTTTCGCTTGCACTAGGTACTGTAAGAATCAAACCTGCCAACATAACAGTGCAAGAAACAGTGCTGCTAACATTAAAATAAATATGACGTTTGCTAACGAATAAGGTTTTGCTTGTTTATTTTTCTATCCCATCAGTGCAATGCAATGATGACATTGACCAATTGACAATAGTTTTTTTTATTTAATAGAAATAATAATGGCAGGTTGAACCAACAAGAAGGTTTTAGTTTACAATCATAATAATCTTCTTGACAAGATAAATCGTCAAACAACTTTGATCGGAATAATTTTGAACTTTAATGACGAACAGCTAAAGATTATTTTCTCTAACTCGAGATTATTCTGTAACATAGTTTCAAAAGGTCACATGTGCTCGCGATTCGTTGAAGGAATCAATTTGAAAACTGACGAACCTTTTCATTCCGTGACTGTACATCAGGTAGTATTGTTGCGCCACCATGCGAGCCAGTCGGTAGTCCCGGCCCATAGAGTTTCAATAACTAAACTAAGCGTTTAGATAACTCTTTTATAATGCGAACAGCTAGGGACTGGAATTTGCTGCCTGCTGCTGTCTTTCCTAAACACTATAATCCGGGCCTTTTTAGGGCAGACATGTATCATCCTAGACTGCATCTCACTTAACACCAGGTGCGTTTGCGGTCAAATACTTGCCTTGTCTTGCATAAAAAAAGCGAAATCTCGAATTCCCTTCCCTAGCTCCGAGACCTGTCTTTGTGAAAATTCTTCTGTAAAAATTCTATTTTACTCTATCATAGCTCAGAAGCTCACCACGACTGTTGTCCCGCAGCTCGCCGGGCCCGACGCTGTTGCCCAGTACGGGCATGCCCGCCATGCCGGCGGCTACTCTCCCTCCCCCTTCATGGTACACCTGCGACAAACAAGAAACGTCATCATCGTAGGTCATAGTCTCCACTTCATGCATTCCATGCAAACTAAAATCTTCATATTTTTTTTTATCGCAGTCGATATCGAATGCGTTTGAAGTAAACTCACACTACGCCCCCTGCAGAAGCACGACCCTATCTAATTTACCAGAGGCAAATGGATGATTTGACCTACACTATTCACACAGCCCAGTAGAGACATATTTTTTTTTTATACACAACGAGGAAGCTCTTGGCCTGTATCTCACCTGATGGTAAGTGATGATCAGGCCAAAGGTGGAAGCGAGCTTCACCCGGAATCCTCAACCACGGAGGAACTGGCTATCTTACCTCTAACTGCCGGAACACAACAATGCCGTTAACATTGTTGTTATGGCGACAGACTTAGGTAAGATGGTGGTAGCTAGCCAGGCGGACTTAGAACAAGCCCTACCACCAACCAAACCGAGCAGAAAAATCTGCACCCACTGGGAATCGAACCCGGGACCTCTGCGTCTGAAGCAGGTGGTATTACCACTAGACCACAGAGGCGGTTAAATTATTATTATTTCACAATATTTATTTATTGCAACAAGCCTAACCTATACATATTCGAAATAAATATTATTACTAAACAAGCTCTTGCTATAGGTAGGTATGTCTTTTTCTAAAACCTAAGAACTATTCGTAATTTATCACCAATAGCCCAATATTTCTTTTGTAACACGAGCCTGTAAATTGCCAGCTATCTCGGTAACATAATTTGGAAACCTTTTAGCAAAATAATGAAAACTCTTTGTACCCCACAAAACAGTATAAAAACGTATAACATTATTATGTCCGTATTTCTCCTCAAAATGGCGCCTATTTTTATGGCGCTTGATAAGAATTCAAAAGATTCTTAGCTTCTACACGTTTCTTCTATTATAAACCCTTCACGCCTCATTAATTACAGTTGGGCCACTGAAAAGTGTATTTCCAGCCGCATCTCGTCTTACATTATTATCATCATCATAATTTAATAGTTATCAAGATTTAAAGTGTGAAAAAGTCATCATTTTGTAACGACGACGTAAACATCACAAAGCACGATTTCCTGCAGCCATTTTCTCCTACTATTTTCTTGTGGTCGTCGGTCCATCGGGCGAAGGAGAGTTCTATTCTACGCTGTACGTAGAATGTGCTAATTATTGTAAACATAATTCAGTCTAAAAAAACATTCAGTCTAAGTCTTATTTAACTAATTTTGTTTATGTATCGTTGTTGGTTTCTATAAAAATAATTTAATTAATTAATTAATACCATAAGTGAAAAATCTTTAATAGCATCCTAATTTGCCTACAAAAACTCGTAGACCTATTGAGCGCTACGTCGTAGACTCGTAGTCAAGCAGCTACGAACTCGTAGTTCGTAGCGCTACGACAAATATTGAAAGTTGGACAAGTGCATCTGCTTCGGACGTCTTCGGTGTCGATTCATTTCTTAATTAAATGCTGTTATTTAAATTTTGAAGGTTTTTAGGTTTTGCGAAATTCAAAGTTTTCACATCACATTTTTTTACGTCCGTACGAATATTTTATGTAAAACATTTTTTTTACATACTACTTATAGGTACAAATGTAAACACAATCGATCAATAATGAACCCGTGTGTCCTCTTTGTACGACTTTGTATGTTGATACGAGTAGATACAGATCGACACTCCTTAACAAGGGATTTCCGACCTTTTAAATGTAATAACTTCAGGTAGTTCATGTCAAAATATTGTGTTTATTTACATCCCGTGAATCTGCGCAGAAGAAATTTGATGCAGAACGGTTTAAGGTTCGAAGGCAAAAACATTACCAATTTGATGCAGAACTTTTTAAAGCTGAAAAATTACAAATTTCACCATGCAAGGGCATCCTTACTGACGTTATGAAGGCTGTGCCAACATTATAAAATTAGTTGTATGAAGGACACGTTAACTTACGCGTTCACAAAGTAGAATGGGCGGTTGGCTGCAGATTTGCTTTATTCAAAAACGCACGTTACGCAAAAACACTTAAGTGCTACATATGCTATCCGGCGCTTCTTTCAACATTTTCTGATTTGGAAACACTATATCTAGCTCTAATATGAAAGCGTACTATAAATAAATACTCTTTACGTGAAAATAACACTCTTCACCCATCTGTCCAATTTGGTGGAACTTATTCCAATATAATACCAAAAAGCCAAAAAGTATTGAGGAATACCATGCAAAAACGCGCGATTCACGCGCTTTAAAAACGCTTAATCTGTAACGGCGGATAATTGTTCGTGAGGGACAGTAATGGATGCGTGACAAACCCTCCACTCCACTCTTAGCGAGTAATCAATTATGTTCACACTCTACGCTGCCTTAAGGATGCCATTATTTAAGTACACCTATGTACAAATATTATCCATTTAAGGTTCGAAGGCAATAAATGATTTTTTTAATACTTTACTAAGACTGAGTTGCACCAACTTACTTTAACCGTAACTATGACAATTACCAGTGTTTTTTGTATGGAAGTTGACAGTTTCTTAAAGTTAAAATAAGATGGTGCAACTCAGCCTCAGGTTGGGTTGCACCATCTTACTATAACTTCAAACGTCTAAAATCTATAAAACTCCATACAAATCGTTATAGCTTTACGGTCAAAGTTAGGTGATGCAACTCAGCCTTACGTTAAGTTACGTTTCTTTTTTCATTTAATTGTAAATGTTTCTATTTTGTTTACTAATAATCTAGTTAACACCTCCAGTTAAGAACAGTATAGTATACTTGTGTTATTATTTAGTTCCCCATATTAGTCCAACGCACGACAAGTTAAAACTACCGAAACTCGATTCAGCATACAGTTGTCGGTGTCGGGACACCGACATCCTTATCGCCTATATTTGCTCAATCATTAAATAAACTCCACTTATAAAAACATGTTATGAATGCATCTAAAAAGGATCACGGTAACGCCTGGTGAGTTGACTAATGTTGAGGGCTAAGGGAGTCAATTAAAAATGAAAGTTACCTTGGAAGGCTATTACACTCGATTAGTAAATTAGCGATTGTTTCGCTACACGGTCATTCTACAATGACAATCACTATGGTTAGTAATACATTTGCCTTTTGAGTTTTAAAAGTGGTAGGTAACAGATTAGAACATTCTCTTGCAAAAAATAGATCTACTTACTTCAATATGTCAGTCTTCGTCGAACACACTAATAACAATCCATGGGTTTTAATTTAAAAGTCAATAAACGGACAGAAGTTTGAAAATGTTTACTCCGAAACATGAAACCATTGATTCAAAGCCTTTCAAACAATCACATTGATATGTTTATATGTATATTTGGGTCCTATCTTGGACTCAAATCTAGGAGGATCTCTTGCCAAGTAACTACAATCAATCGAACATTCCCAAGAAATACTTATATTAGTTACTGAAGTCTAATTGTAATAGGAAGGTAGGTAAGTAATTACATTTAATACATTGTTATACGCATAATTAACTCTATTGGTTTGTTATAGATCAGATACCGATATTAATGAATTTGAAGTGTTGGAGTGAGAGAGAAAGAGACAAACGTTCTCGCTGTTACCTTAATGCCGTAGTCACTTACCTTTGTCCGGAAGAATACTTATTTCCCTGGAAAATCCATTCCCCAATTTTATTGTTAATGCTATTTAGTTATTTCATCATGTTTCTCTTCTCTCTTCATTAGCATTTTAAACGTTTCTTTTAGGAAACTGAATTTTGAGAGGTTTATGTGGCGTTCTAAGAAAGAGGATATTATTAAACCAACTTACCATGCAGTTGAATCAAATATTGGCGTAAATTTTTATCACTTGATTTGCGTCATATATCTGTTACGCCCTATTTAAGTATTTTGCTTGTCTGGTACACAGTAGTAATTGTATTTTTGGATATATTCTATAATGATCGTAACAATCAGGTCCAAATGACTATAGTAGTACAACATTTCAGCATCTGAGGGGTAGTTCATCGGTAACAGGGCGATAAATGACCTCAATATATGTACAATACAACTAGCTGATCCAGCGAACTTCGTACCGTCTATACACGTACTTAGGAATAGGAATAATGTAGGATTCTAATGATCTAAGGAATTTTTAAATAGGCCCGGTAGTTTCGCAGCCTTTGCTCTTTATTGTGTAGATAAATATATTAATGATGAACGTAATGTTTTTTCAGCCAAATACAATGGATCAAAAGTTATTTGGACTAAGGCCCGATTCGACCAAACTTTTATCCGAGAATAACTCCTGGTATAACTGGCACGTTGACAGTTCCAGTATGGGAAATGTCAAAATGTCGAACAACTGACGATTTATTCTGTGATTAATATTTTACTCTTGTTTGGTCGAATCCACCCTCAGGCTAGTAATCCGAGCTTACAGTTTAAGTTTTTGCCAAACTGTCCCTTACACCTAGTGGAGTGTAGGTATATGTTTATTATCTATGTACACTCACGGCCACCGCTAATGGCTGCTTCCACGAAAGGTCAGACACTTCGAATACACACACGTTTGTCACTTAGCACGCATAGACTATTAAAAGCTCGTAAAATTTTAATTTTCGGAGATTTCACGGTTGCAAATCTCTAGATATTACTGTGCAGTTGTACAAGGTTTACTCGTATTTAAGTAAACTTAAATTAGGTACTGATGGTGATTGAAATTATTTTTACATGTTTATAGGCGGAGCAGTAAAAAAATGTTTCACAAACGAGAACTATTTTCACTCGTGCGAAGTAGGTACATACGAAGTCTCGCTTGAGTCCCAGACGGCATTCATTAATGTCATAACAATTGATTATCTATTGTGTCTAGATTCGCGGGCCTTGAAGGATTAATAGTGACCATGAAAGTTCAAAATATTAATTTATATTTCTTGAATTTACGCTGTAGTTTTATGGCATTCATAGTTTGCTGAACTTGTCTGTGAAAACGCATAAAC